CTTTCCGCTGTTTGTACTGCTGCTGCCGACGCAGTATTTGTTGTTCTAAAGTATATTATTATTGCTATTAACTCTATTCTATTTACCTGGTTCAAGAGGCTGAAGTGCATTGATTACACACACGCAAACAATAACAAAGAGACTTGATATTTTTTTTCTAAATCCACCGAAAAGACTTTATAGAAAAATTTAGTGAAAAAAGGTTATCAAAAGCTAACTAAGGAATAACTGACAAGAGACTAGCTAAAAAAGTACACCGAATCGAGGACCTGCTTCAGGTCAAAGTCGCCCTTGGGTATGGTCCGGTGGACGGCCTTCAGCAGCTGGCGGTGCTGCGCCGGCGTCATCTCCCTCGCCCCCTCATTGTGCACCTCCTCCAGCCGGCGAGCGAGGTAGGCGGCCAGGTTGTCGAGAATGGGCTCCTCGTGCAGGCCCACAAATGTCCGCCGGCAGATGCCATTCATGGTGTCCACCTGACTGGCATGTGTCCAGAAGCAGTCGTGGACGCTTGCGAAGGTGAGCCCGGCGCGGTGGCAGCCGAGCGCCGTCAGCATCATGTGACTAGAATCGAGCGAATGGATGAAGTTGGGCGGGAAGCCGTTCTTCTGCTTCATCGTGTTCGGCACCAGGCTGCTGGTCGCCTGCTCTCCTTTCGAGTTTTTCTACGAGAAGAAATAAGGGAGGTCAAACACTCAGAAAACCAAATATATTATTTTGTACAAACCTTGGTCGTCTTAAAGTACGGCTGAATGACGGGAAAGCCGAGAGGCGTCACCCAGTCCACCGTGGCCCCATACTCTGCGCTGATAATCTGCGCCGCCCCCGTCAGCCAGTCCTGAATGGCCCTCGTCTGCTTGAACATCCGCCCAATGCTGGCGAAGATCTTCTCGCTGATGTAGAGCGAGGCGGTCACCTTGTGGCCCTCGGGGAAGGCGGCGTCCTCCCGCAGTCGCTTCAGCACCTGCAGCTTGGCGCCGTACTTCGTCACGCCGTACACGTACGTCATCACCGTCTGCTTCACCACCTTGCGGGTGATGAAGCCCCGGACGACGGCGGCAATCTCCACGCCGGCCGCCGCGTCCCGCTCAATCTCCGCCTCGACGAGGGCGGCCACGTCGGAGTAGACGTCCTGGGGCACCTCGGCCGGCACCAGATTCACCGACCTGGCGCCGAGGAGGTCGCGGCCCAGAGCGGCGTAGTGCTGCAGCCCATTGCAGCTGCCGTCCTGGTGGATGGCCAGGTGGCTGACGTAGGAGGCGGGGTCGCCGCTGCGCACCGCCGCCGTCAGCTCAATGCAGGCCGCCAGCGTCTGCCACTTCTCGTCCGCCTGCATCCACCACCGCCGCCCCTCCAGTGGGCGGTCGGCGCTGTCCATTATCAGCTCCTCGAGGATCTCGTCGGCGTAGGCGAGCCGCTCCGCCACTGAGCACCGCTTCTTCAGCCCCGTCAGGTTGATCAGGTGCACCTTGAGCCAGTCGAGGCCGCGCTCGCCCAGCGGACTGCCCTTTGCAAAGAGAAGCAGCGAGCGGGAGAGGTCGCTGCCGAGGTGGTTAAAGTTGGGCGGAATGGGGTAGACGCGGCTGCGAAAGTCGGTGTTGATGGGGAACCAGAAGGTGCGGTCGCGGAGCTGTGTAGAAATGATTGATTGGTTGGGATTAAGAAAAAGGTGATTTTAGTAACTTAAGCCCAACACTCACATAGTGGCCAATGGAGAGCTTGTAGAGGCAGTCCACCCACAGGCTGTACATCTCCGCCTGCTCCTTCTTCTGCAGCTTCCGCCGGTGCCAGGTGTACGCCTTCTCCTTGGGCGTCATGTCGCTAAAATGAGAGGAGAAAGCTCGGTGTTTTGAACGCACACAAAACCTTTATCACTTACTGTGTGGAGCGCGGCAGTGGGCCAAACTTGGACAGCGAGATGGGAATGTCCAGCTCGAGGTTCCCTCTGTCCTTGAAGATCGAAGTGGCAATGTCCAGCAACTACAAAAACCAAATTTTACTAATTAAAAACTTCCACCAATTACTTCCAAAACACTTACCCGTCCATTAATCTTCCACGGACAGAGCGAGAGGGCGTTGAGCGCATCAAAGGTGGGGTAGAACTGCGTCACCGGCGTCCGGCGGAGCATCGCTCGCGGGTAAGCGGCCGGCAGGCGAATGACAAAGTTCGGCACCAGCAGATTGCCGCCAAAATTGGTGGCCACCCAGGGCACCGGCGGGGAGAGCATCGGCAAGCGTTCCGTCTCAAAGTGAATCGCCGAGCAGGCGCCCTCGTAGAGGCGAATGAGCAGGGGGTGGACGCGCACCTCCCGCTTCGTCTTGAAGCAGTCGTGGCTCTTGTAGACGAAGCTGATCACTGGGGTGAGCGAGGATGAAGACGAGGTGGAAACACCTGAAACACCCTCCGAAGGCCCACTCTGCTGGAGAGCGCCCATCAGCACCGAGTTGAAGTGCGCATCGGCGCTGATCACCTCGTAGAGGTCCTTGCCCAGCTCCCGCAGGACATTCACCGGCCACTGCTTGCTCTCGTCAAAGTAAAAGTGGTGCCCTCCCGCCTCCACCAGCCGCTGCTGCCAGTACTCGCGGGGGCTGTGCTGCCCCATCAGCGCCGGACTGCGCGTGTACTGGACGGCGTAGGCGGCGTAGCAGCGCTTGAAGTCGGCCAGCGTCCCGTCGGCGGTGTTCGAGCGCAGCAGGTACTCGCCCATCACCCGCCGGCCCAGGGCCTCAAAGAGCTGACTGGCAAAGGGCGAGTAGTGCTCGCTGAAGGTGGCGCAGCGGCGAATCTCCTCCAGCATCGCCTGCACGTAGAACTCCGGCTCGAGGATGCTCAGGTAGTGGTGGTAGGGAATGCCGTTCAGGCGCTTCTGCCGGCTGCAGACGGTGTCGAGGTGGGCGGCAAAGCCCGCCGCCAGCGTCTCCCGCCACTCCGCCTCGAGGAGGTCCAGCAGGCGCTGGTAGGCCTCGGCTGGAAGGCGTCGAGGCTCGAGGTCGTAGAAACGGGCGCCCGGCACCGGGGGCACCTTCACCGTGGCTGCCATCTCCGCGGCCAGTTGCTCCTCGAGCAATGCGGTCATCTGCTCGCCCGTCTGCAGGTCGGCGACGCCGGCAAAGGGATCGTAAGGAGGCTGCTGCGGCAGCTGCTCCCGCTCCAGCGCCACCAGGTGCTTGTTGGGCGGCGCCCGCGGGTGCTGGTACCGGCGAGTGTGGAGGCGAATGCCCAGCCGGTCCAGCGTCTCCTTCAGCAGACGCAGCTCGGCGGAGCTCAGCGTGGAGCGGTAGAAGAGGAACTGCGGACTGAGGCCGTTCTCCGCCATCTCCTGGAGGAGGCCGCGTACATCGGCGGCGGTAATTCGCTTCAGCTGCTTCACCAGCGAGAGGAGGTAGTACTCGAAGATGGGCACCGTCAGGCGCTGCTTCTGCCCGGTGGTGGTGCTGGTGATGAAGCGCATCAGCTCGCGCACATTTTCGGTGTTGCCCTTCCGCGCCCAGCCCTTGATCAGCAGCTCGGCGCACTGGGCAGTGTCCGCCGACGGCAGCGAGCGGCCAAACTTGCCGACAAATTCAAGGAAGAAGGCGTGCGCCTCGGGCAGAGCATCGCTGTAGGTGCAGACGTGGATGAAGCTGAGCAGATTGCGCTTGGTGAGGGCGGTGTCGTCGAAGAGGTCGCAGGTCTGGCTGAAGTGGCTGCCCTCATCGACGGAGCTGTTCGACATGAAGTCCCGCTCTTCGGGAAGGTTTTCGCAAGAGAAGCTCTCCAGGGAGAGCTCCTTGAAGATGTCCAGCGAGGCGGTGTCCTGTTCGATGATGGACTCTGCTTCAGCTGAGAGTTGGATTCCTTCTGCTGCTGATGATGATGAAGATGATGAGAGTGATGATAAGGTCGCAGAATATTGCTTCAAGGCGGTCGATCGAGGCACTTTAGTTGGCACTCGTTTAGGAGTGGATGAAGGTGAAGAAGGTGGTGGTGGAGTTGATGGCGGTGATGAAGATGATGATGGACCAGAAGCAGCAGCTCTGTTTGTCTTTCGAGACCTGGCGCCGGTCTTTGTCTTGTGGCTCTGAATATCGTCGAGGATCTTGTGGATTCTCACGTTTAAGCTCGAGAGGCGTCGAGTGCCTCTGCTACCGCTGATGTTGTCGATGATTCTGGTGGCAGACTGCTGTCGCCAGCCAAGCTGCAGGCTGTGACGGAGAAGACATCGAGAGCAGAAGAGCGTGGTGGTGGGCGCCGAAGTGGCCGCGTAGTTGCTGGCCACCGACAGAAGTGACCACATCTTTGGCTGCTGCTAATCAGTCTTGGTCCTGGACAGAGTTCTTCCGATGATCACAGCATTGTCTGGCATCAGCCTGGAAGACAGCATGCTGCGCTGCTTTATTTTTGCAGACGGCATGGACGAGGAGGGCGAAAAGAAAACAACACAGTCAGCTGTGCGGGAGAAAGAGCGCGGCAGTGCAAATAGACGCTGTGATTGACGACCGCAGGATAGGTGTAAATAGCGTAAACAAAAAAAACGAT